GGACACCGAAAGAATGAGAAGATATAGCTAATACATACCTGCGTTATCGAATCCTCGTACGCACACATTCGTTACGCTAGGCGTGCCATTACGCGCGGCGGTCCCGATATGCTCAGTCTATGTGAGCAAAGGGGTGATTGTGAAAGGAACGAGGTCGGTGTGCAAATCCACACGCCACCCCAAATTTCAGGAATCGTATGTCGTAAGGGTTCTCAGTATGCTGTCTCCTTAAGATACAAAGCCACCATAGAATGCCAGCCTACCGGGATGAAGGATCTCAAGCTAGGATCCCATGATCCAAACTCATACGGCGTAAATTCCCAGATGGTTGTGTTAGTGCTGACCACAGTCTACGAAGGGATGCGCATTCATGGAAAGAAACCGGCAGCATAGGTATGTATGGCGGTGCGATTGCGCCACACAAATTCATTCACGCGTGAGTGGTTATTTGCGTTAGATAAGGAGACGCAGGCCAATAGGATCAGCGAATCCAAAAGAAGGAAGAAGGCACGCGGACGTGGGTGAGTTTCGAAATGGGTAAGGAGTTGGGGGACGGAAGACTTGCCTCTCCTGGCGCCCTTCCATCTCTGGAGATGAATTCATTCAAGCAAAAGAGATAAGACAGAATTTGGAAAGAGAAACAGAATGTGAACTTTCACATTCCCACTCTTTAAGAGCATCGAACGGTACGTCAAACTTACGCAATGATGATTGGAAATGGCATCGAATGATCATTGAATGCTGACACGTTTTGAACTGATGACCATGTGGTTGCGATACCCTTGTTCGTGGAGTTCACAAGATGCCTCGACAATGCGTCTGACCCGACGTAGAAGACAGACTAAGCAGGCGAAGACATGAAATTGAGCGTGACGCACGGCCCCAGTAGTCGGTAAGCGAACAGTCAAACCCCTTCGCCTTTTTCTCCTGCACTTCGGAATTGATATCAAGGTAGTAGCTTAGAAGCTCGCTGAGGCCGGGGTTAACCTAAACGCAAGATGGCTCATGAAATCAAGTCGAAGCGATTGAATGACAATGCTGCAGTAGGAAACCACGCAGATGAATGAGAATATACCAATTCCAACTCACCAGATCCTTCTCCAAATCCCAAACCTCAAGGAGCTGTTGAATCATTGGCATGCTGTTCACAGCCAACGTGCCAACAAACCAGCTTCCACCTGACAGTCCGGCCATGTAGGTACTCAGCTGGACTATGCCTCCTGTCCCTTGAGCCACAGACGTGCTATTCCTCGCGTCCCACGCGTTGAACACTCCAGACGCATGTAGCATTGCCCGGTAGCCTCCGCCACTTGCAGCGATCGCCACTGTAGGCAAATTACTCGTATTGCTCAAGAAGCCATTTATGTCGAACCCTTGAAGGTTTACGGCAGAGTTGTTGAGGTACGTCGCCCAGTTCGATACGATGGCTGATTTTCGAGCTTGAACATAAGAATATTCTCCTGGAGCAACGGAGACGGTGTTGTTGATGCTACGGATGAGCTGTGGCGGGCAAGATGAATTGCTGGGTGCATAGTTCCCCGAAGGAGCAGTGGCGGGGGCTGAATCACGTTTGAGTTTCAACAGTCTGGCGTAGGCTCGGACGGCAGCAGCATCGAGACCATCGAGTGTTCCGCTCCCGGGAGTAGCATGTGCGAATATGAGCGGAACCAAGGCAAATAGAAGCATAACGCGGGGCAGGACGAATGCCGTAGGCTTCATAGCTGTGATGAAGGTGCCACTGGATGATCTGGAAACAGGCAAAACAGGTGAAGGTGGTGCGAAGGTTGCTTCCACACGTTTTATCGGTACCATTTTCCGGTTGCTGACGCCGTTGACTGTCAGGTATATATATTATTTGGACCATGTGGCAATATAAGTTGTTGGCTCCAACAAATCGCAAGGCTGGTGGAGGCCGGCCGACAGCCGATTCGCCTCAATAAGACCCCACGCACATGTACTGTGTCATACACATGACATACCCAATACACAGCCACCAACCCGTAGGTTTACTAGGTTTACTCGTTGCACCCAAGTCCCCCGCCCCCGAGTTTTGAAGGAGGGGAAAAAAATTAAAAAGTGACACGAATCCGGTGTGTTTGTGGCCGGGCAGCTCGTCGCAATCATTGATAGAATACCCAAATGCAAACAACAAGTGCACGTTGTGCGGCGAGGATATGTTCCGGTCTCCACCAGTTGTCACTCTAGTGCTGGGCTGGGATCTGTTGTCCCGTAGATACATCATCGTCACCGATCAATATTGTTTGTTCCAGTAGGCTCTTGGTTAATAGAACAAGAGTTGTGATCCTCGTGTTCTGCATGGAATGACTGTACGCCGACAACGATGTTTTGCGGTTGTTGGGCAAAGGTTCTACTGCCTGCCGAAATCGGCTGGTCCCAGGAGCGACGGGTGGTCTGTTCGTTCTTCCACTGTTTCCTCCGCAATCCCACTACACAGTTCCAATGGAGGTGGGCATGAGAACGCTGGTAACCGGGGCGGTCATGTCGTCAGAGAGCCCAATGCCCAAGCCACAACCGCACCCATCAGGCGATGGTATAGGAACGGGCATCCATGTCATGAATCATGATGCTGGATTATTTAGTGGCTATCCGGTTTAGCAGCAGCGGTTAGTTTTACACGAGCGCACGAATGCAGGCAGGATACCGCAGCAGGGACACCGGCACCAGACACCGCAAGTTGAAGGTCGTTTGCGCACCGAGATGTGGGAAGGGTTTGGCCATGGGCGCCTTATACAGCCGCCATCCCAACGTTCACCGAACTCGCCGCCATACTTTAAGAACCACAGAAGCATCTCTGGACCGAATCCGGGCCACTTGTACTAATCCCGCGTGTGCGGCTTAGTCCAAAATCGAACATTCATCTAGAAGGGCTCTTCAGATCTCTGACATACGTCAGAAGGCGGATCAATTGCTTTGGTCATGTATTTCGAACATCCGATCATGTTATGTACCAGGCTGGTCAACCCTCTCTCGGAGACCTTAAGAGGTGGGGTATTTGGCTGAATAAAATAGGCCTAATGGGCCAAAACGAGGCTGTATATCCAAGGATATACAAATCCCAAAGTGCGGCGAACCGGGGAAAGTTGCGCGAACATTCATGTATATCCTTGTATATACATGGATATCCTTGTATATACATAGACATTCATGTATATCCACCATGTATATACAGGTGGCACCTGAATACATTTGCCGCGGCTGCCGATGTCATGTGGTCCGTTGCCACATGTTACTGCGGAGTTGTCCGAATTTATTGTTATATTGTTATATCAATCTCTCTCCTCTCGGTCGATGTTGGGTCCCCCGCTTTGCAGGTTGCTTAACGTGGCTTGGGCCACTGCGGGCTGAAGGTGAGACCCTCTCTTTTCATATTTCATACGTTCTTCCGTTCGACCGTCGCACCTCTTGCGTTTTTAATGTCCTTCACCTCTCCTTATGGCGAGGCGGAGGCGAGAGTATCGCCGTTGTTTGTCATGATTCTCCCTGACAAATACTGTATCCTGAGTATCATAGTGCTGCAGATTTGCTGCATTGCGCCCTTTCCTGTCGATGACGTGGACTTTATGCTTCTGACGCGCGAGCTCCTCTGTCTCCTTCAGTCATCCATATCATCCTGTCGCTTCCGCTTCCCGTCACGTCGCCATTCTATGCTTAGTGTGATCTTCAAGTCTATATGGCTGGGATACCGGCAGTCCGTCCCCCTGGAATGTCTCAAACACGCCCTCCACGACACCTGTCTCTCCTGGGCCGCATCCCCTCAACGTTAAGTACTCTCCCGCATTTAGGTTAAGTCCGGTGGCCAACCAATTTCTCGATATCATGAAGGATTTCAAAGTCGATCCTCACGCTTGGCTGTACACTATTGAATTCCATGACCAACGCTCTCATCGTAACAGGATGCCACTTCTGCAAAGCAACCCGTCAAACTTGCCGGTGTCATTAAAGTTTTGGGTTGAACTGGCTCTCGCGGAGGTGTGACCCAGGTCTGCAGATTTCTGCAGCTCATCCGCAGGGCCTAACGTCACCCACAGGTTCGTATTGAGTTGATGGACGAGATGCAACGCTCTATCATTCGAAACGTCAAGGTACCAGTTCGTGAGTCGGATGTCCTTGCCCTCTTGGAGTCTGAGCGTGAATTCAGCTCAGTGTGTCCAGTGACTTGCTAGACAGTAACAATATCCGCTGATGATAATTTTCGGCGTTGATTTTCTTTTTCAACCCTGTGCATCTATTGAGATTTGCATATTGAAGAGTTTGACCTATGTTCCGCTATCAATTCCACATGGGAATGAAGCGCCTTCAGGTTGATTCCACGCTTGTCGTTGTGTATTGAAGCCGAAGGTAAGCGGGAAAAGTACCATTTGCAGACATACTGTGATTTAGAGTGTGCACATCATTGTATAAACCTATTGTAAAGAAGCTTCTCAAGTCATCAGGTGCGTAGCAGCAACCCACTAGGATGTCGCACACGCCTGAAACACAACATAGTTACATCTTTTTTTAAGCTTTGCAACCGCCACAATCCCCTCCGTAACGGGAGGGATGCTACACGCGCACTCCCCCTCCTATACATATAACCCTCCCCGTCATCATCCGAGTCATCAAACAACCTCTTTATTCCATTGTATTTTCCATCTTTCCCTTGTTAACATGCATGCAAGAACTCACCGGGGGGTTGCGGGAAGGGGTTGACTGTCTATTCATACAGCGAACAGAAAACGAAATGATGAATTAAAAAAAAAAAAAAGGGTAGAAAGAAACAGAAAGAAACAGAAAAAGGGAAAAGAGACAAGGAGGAACCCGAGTTGGGCCCATGCTTAAGTATAACCATCCCCAGGTCTGTGCGCAAGAACTGATGTGGGAAGTTGCCAATACTTACGGGGAGATCCGAAGGCATAGTTGGACTATATATATATATGCGGAGTTGTCCAAAATATATTGTTATATTGAATGCCACGCCCCGGATGTATATATAAAACATTCTAATCTAGAGATGCGCCACCTGCCTCAGCTGCCTCTATTAACCGTGCAAGCATTTCATCTTCTTCTTCTGAACCATTCAATTCAAACATATCACTCTCGTCGCTGTCGGACCTGACAGAACCATCGTCAGGCACCCTGTGGACTGGGGGTGAATGGTTTGGGTTATGATGTTTAGCAAGAGCCTGAACTTCGGGCAGACTATGGAACGCGTGAAGAGAGGGTGGAGGGTCATTGGGAGCCCAATCTTTTGTACCAGCGGAGATCTCGAAAGTTTTGGTACTTCCTTCCCAGCGATTTTGTAGCTTATGAAGCCTGTGAATCCGCATGAGGGAAAAAAAGGCAACGTCAACATCACTTCCAAGGGCAGCAAAGTATAGGTGAACGGCTCGGTAACTCTCCTCCCATATCCATTGACGGAGATTGGCATGTTCAGCCTCGCATCTGGCAATCTCAGATTGGCAGCTGACAACCATCTGTGCCGAAGGGATACCTTCCTTTACACATGGATCAGCGAGCCATGCCGGTAGCTCTTCGAACTGTGAAGGATCACAATCTTGCCATATATCTTGATCTACATCCAACTTATAGAGACCCTCCTTTCTGAGCGGTGAGGGAAGCCATGCATCTTCAGCAACCCCATTTCTCCCTCTCATCTCAGCCAATTGTAAGATCTTATCGTTATACTTCTTCAGAGTGGCATCAACTCCAGCCGAACGACGAGAGACTGCTTTGTCCACATGATCTCGTAAACTCTGGTCAGCGACTCGTCCTCCATGAGATTGATCAAGTCGTTGCAGCTCCTGTTTTCTTGCACGTAATTTGCGGAGTAACTGATCACGCAGCACACGAAGGTTCAAAAAGCCATTTGCCCATACATCCTTCTCTGCCTTCTTGAGTTCCTCATGTGTATCATCCTTAGCCTGCAACTCCTTCGTGGCCTTCTCTACAGAACTCCTCAGCCTCGCGATGCTGCTGTCAAGGACATCAACGCGTTCCTGCCAATCTGCCAGGAGGAGTTCCGCCACTGAATCAGAGCCGGTAGGCATATTGCACCTCAAGTCTTCTAGAAGTGACCTAGAACTCTCAATGGTTGCCTTCCAGCCCATGATGGCCTCGATCTTGGTGCGGACGGGAGTCTTGGTTTGCCGAGCTTGAGGCTTCGAGTGATACTGACGCTGTGCCTTGAAATGTTCCAGCATGTCATCCACATTCTGCTCCTTGAGGGCCTGTTGAGCCGACTCGAGACGTTTCTTGGCATTTGTGATGTGATGGTGCAACCAATTCCCCAAATCCAGGCACTTCGTATCAGTGATATGGCTCATCTGCATGTCAAGCACAAAGAGACGACGGTGGTACCCCGCAACCCGAAGACTTGGTATGAGCTGTCGCAGTTCACTCCAAAAACGCTCACACACTTCACCATCCGAAAGACCCCAGACACGATCCTTCCGAGGGTGATACCATAGCTGACAAGCCCATTGATGTCCATAGGCGTGAAAGATAGAGACGCCCCACACCAGACGTGACCACCACTCAGGTGCAATGTTCCACTTGTGAAGCGCACGATCAGTCTGGCAACCAATGTCATACAGGCACCCGATGGTCCACGACGAAGGGAGATGCTCTATAAGCTTCCCGAGTAATGAAAGTATGTAGAACTGTTGTTCCCCTGGAGTCCAAACGCTGACGTAGAATAACGGTATGCCGTGACGACAGACAGCAGACATAATGCCCGTTTCGTCGAAGTACTTCTTGGATGCCTTCTGGCGCTCCCCGTCGGCAGCCGTGAACGAGCCTTCACAGCCATCATACGTGCTCTCTGTCAGGTTGAGCCCTGGGGTGACATGGTTTTGCTTGGAAAGATTGTCCTTGCCGCTACCCATGTTTCCTTTGCCTTTCGAAGCCCGAAAATTCCGTTTGGGTTCACGTATTTCAGCAACCTTGCTCTGCCACATCTCAGCATAACCGCGGGGAACCTCAATTGTTTGAGGTGACGTCATTTTGGGATCCTGAGAACCAATCTTGTTCAATCCGCGGTACTGGGGCCTCCTATCATAGTCTTTGATCCTCTTCAGCTGAAAATTTGCATCGAACGAAACGATGCAATCTGCTGACAACTCGGACGTGGGACTAGATGTAGAGCCGAAACAACATGGACACCTTCCCCGGAGGTAGTCACTGGGGAGGTCAGGATGTGAAAATGTAGGGGATGTATGAGCATTTCGATATTCTCGCGCATCGATCGAAGTGTTCTCATCCAAATTTACATGAACGGTCCGAGCTTGAAGAACGCTGGGTATGCTGGACGTTAAATCTGATGGGATCTTGGGATCTGGATGGGAAGGATCGACATCCATGTCTGATTCCGGAAGGCAATTTGAGACTGAAGGTGGCGAGGATGGTTCGCGGAGGTGGCCAGGCAGAAGACGAGGTGGAATGGGGATGGCGCTTGCCATGCGGTCCATCTCTGCATCGACGAGTCTGATGAGCAATTGATAGTGCACAAGGGAGTTGCTAAAGCGACGACGAAATGAACTCGCAGTCCCGAAATGATGCCCTTCACACTGAAGCATAATTTCGGCAGTTGTTGTCCACGCCCGTATGTTCGGTGCCATGTGTAAGAACAGCGTAGAGGCCCAGTCAAGCATTACCATGCTCACAGCAAGTTCGGGTCGGACTGGGGCACAGGGAAACAAGCCGCATTCGACGAGCTGCACAGTGAGTGTTTGCTCTTCACAATGCCTTATCTGCCGCTTCTCAAGCCGTGACATGTAGACGCAGAGCACGTCATCCACTCGGTGAGGGCCGGCACAATCACAGTGCTGACGGGGTTCGCTTCGTTCTGATGAAGCAGAACGTTCCCGCATCCACTTCATATACGGTCGTATCAGACGTGGCAGGACATCTACGTGCCACCGCGTCCTCTGATGGTTGCGTCGCATGGCATGCTTAGACATGATATCAAGGGGTAACGGTGGGGGGGCTGGCTCACATGTCTTTTCCTTGCCGGAAATGACGTGAAGAGACTCAGATATATATTCGTCCATAGGATGAGGTGAGGTGTGGGGAGGGGAACTAGGATTTGCGGCTGAAGGACCCTGAGATGAAGTGGGGGCATCGTGTAATGGGGCCAATTTGAACTTTTGCCTCTGGAATTCCTCGTATGCTTGGATGCAGGGGATACTGCTGACTGGGGTCGTCCTCACGATACCCGATTTCTGTTCACGCTTGAGAGCATCCCGAACTCGACGCTTCGCTGACTTTTTGTAATTGGAGTACATCTGAACAATCGCTGTCGGCCAACAATGTAAAGCACCAGTGAAAATACACTCACGTTAAAGCGTAAAGAAGATCAATACACAGGTGTAGCAATATTGAAGTTACTAAGCAAGCGAGTGTACAACGCTAAGCAATGGACACACGATTGCAAAGTGAGAGGCCAAAGGAACTAAGCAATCAGGCCTCGATGTCGGACAACAAGGCGCTTGGTCACAGAGTTCGAACAAAGGATTCAAATCCGACGTGGCCGAGGGGACTAAGCGATCAAGCCTTGACGTCAGGCAACAAGGCGTTCGACAGCAGAGCCCAAACGACAACACAAAAACAAAACTAATCAACGCCAAAATGAAAAGGTTTCGATCGCAGAGTACAGATGGAAAAGCAAGGGATCTGAATGGAAGAACTTGCATGAGAACTTGCGTCTGGACTGAGAGGTTTCACTTACGAGGGCTCGGGGGCTGTAGCAAGCGAGTGGACATTGAACTATTCCAGGTCACGCCCTCTCAGTTGCTTCCGAAAGGGTCGGCTCCGACGCGGGATCATTGACATTATGATAAGATCCCAGGAATAGTGGTGTGACAAACGCAGAGAACAGGACAGTATAAGTGAAGAAGGGTGAGCTAGCATAGCGTGCAAACCAAGGTAATATACAGAAAGGAAATTCTGAATGAACGGAATTTCCCATATAGTCGGAATAAAGGGACATGTGATAGATTCTGGGCGAGTTACTCGCTCAGCTGCTTTGTAGCGGAGTTGGCCGAATTTATTCGTTTATTCGCTCAGCCGTGCGAACGTGGCTGTTGCAAAACCCGGATTGATATGTAATATTTTAGACTAGAACACCTAGCGTTGCATGACCACTCAGTTCTAGACGCGTAAACTACATAAATCCATTACTCAATAGTTACCTAGTGTTGAATGAACGCTAGTTACAGTTACATAATATGAAATTACTACATTACTGTAAACGGACCTCAGTTCTAGATACATTGATAAGATTCCAGGAATAGTGGTGTGATAAATGCAGAGAACAGGACAGTAAAAGGAGGCCCAATATTCTTCAGGATCGACGGGTTGATAAGATTCCAGGAATAGAGATGGGAAGCTCCGTAGATGGGCTAAATGCAGAGAACCGGACAGTATAAGGAGGCTCAATATTCTTTGAGGCCGACAGATTGATAAGATTCCAGGAATAGCGGTGTGATAAATGCAGAGAACAGGACAGTAAAAGGAGGCCCAATATTCTTCAGGATCGACGGGTTGATAAGATTCCAGGAATAGAGATGGGAAGCTCCGTAGATGGGCTAAATGCAGAGAACCGGACAGTATAAGGAGGCTCAATATTCTTTGAGGCCGACGGATTGATAAGATTCCAGGAATAGAGGTGTGATAAATGCAGAGAACAAATGAGGCCGAATATTCTTCGGAACGACGGAATGATAAGATTCCAGGAATAGAGATGTGCTGAACCTGACAGTATAATGTGGCCCAACATTCTTTGAGGCCGACGGATTACATAATAAGATTCCAGGATAGAGGTGTGATAAATGCAGAGAACAGGACAAGGCCGAATATTCTTCGGAATCGACGGAATGATAAGATTCCAGGAATAGAGATGTGCTAAATGCAGAGAACCGGACAGTATAAGGAGGCCCAATATTCTTTGAGGCCGACAAGATTCCAGGAATAGAGGTGTGAGAACAGGACAGTGAAAGGAGGCCCAATATTCTTCGGGATCGATGGATTGATAAGATTCCAGGAACAGAGGTTTACTAAATGCAGGGGACCGGACAGTATGAGGCTTAATATCTCTTTGAGACCAACGGATTGATAGGATTCCAGGCATAGAGGTGTTATAAATACAGAGAATAAGACAAAATGGGGCTAGCGATATCGTCGCTCAGTCCCATAGTATGTGAACTAGAAATATATTGAAGTAATCACGTCGCTGGTGTACAAGAATGAGATACAACTTGACGGACACAAGAGTAAAGGGAAAAGCTTATATTCACCTCAGTCCCGTAGTACGTGAACTGAGGAAAAGTCGTAAGGTCCAAAAATTGTGGTTTATATAATCAGCGCTGTGAATGCGCACTATCTTTGGCAGCAACCGAGCCAAATCAGGCAAGAAAAATAAATCGAAGGCGCCGCAAGACTCGACATAAACAAAGTGAGTTGGCCTCAGCGTGTGCTTGAATTTGAATTGTAGTATAAGGAGGTCCAATATTCTTTGAGGCCGACGGATTGATAAGATTCCAGGAATAGCGGTGTGATAAATGCAGAGAACAAGACAGTATAAGGAGGCCCAATATTCTTTGATACCGAATCCAGTAAGTATAAACATTCGCAGCTTGATAGCCGTCACTTCGCGGAGTCGGGACCCATCGTCGCTGCGAGGTGCACTCCGAACTATTCTCACGGGCTCCGGAAACGTGACTCGCCCATTGTCAGCCAATATTGTCGGCAATCCCAGAAGGTCACGCTGCTATAGTGAAGCGGACTTGGCCGAATTCATTTGTCTAATCATTTCGCTCCACAATCGTACAATCGTTCGCTCCCCAGCTCAAACAATGTCTCAAAAACAGTACCCTTCCATGAACCGTGCGGCCACTGAGCGTGGTTTGGCTTCCTCTACATCCAAGGGCACTGGGCATGTGGCGGGCGACAACACTGGGCAACCGTCTCTCGTTTCTGACGCAGCCGACAAGGTCGCTGCGGAGAAACGACCTACGGGCGAACCCATCACCTCTTCTGGTCCCTCGACCGCTAAGGTTAGCACGATTTTCCTTCGTCAAAAGCTAGTTCTCATTGTTCCTTGTTTACAGCCAATACCTCGTAACTTGCGTTTTACCAAAAAAAAGCCAACGCCATCCAACGCCGGTACTTCGTCAGGTTCAGCTATCCAGCCCAGCCCCTCCCATCCGCCAGCGGTTGTCCCGGACGCCCCTGGTCATGGGTTTGGTGGTGGAGAGCCGCGATTCTCATTGCCAGAACGACCTGGGTGGGTCATCGTCGAATTTGAAGGCAGCACTCCAGTGCCTTTGACGCCTTCAGAACGGTATCCAGTTCTCGATCCTTTCAATTACGACCGTGTTTCTGGTCATCTACGGCGCACTACTGTACGTTGGCTGCGGGATCAGTGGCCCATGACCGAATCTCGACTCAAACGTCTTGAGGATGTCATCAAAGAGGATAATGAACTTTTCGGTGTGTTGGATCCATCTCCTCATGTCGTGTCACTCAATCTAATTGTGGGCACTTTTAAATCATTCGTTAGCGTCTGTCGACGTATACTGTGTTATACATTGGCGACTAGTCGCATCAAACAGTATGAAGGCAAAAGCCTATCATTTTCAGGGGTATCCAGAAGGTTTTTCGGCTGCGGATCCATACGATCGGCAAGGCACTCTCCCCCTCTACGACGGTCATTCATGGGGATACCCCAGGATTGATCCAAGTGACATTGTGGAGAACCCCACCATTTATCGTTTAAGCCGTCCTCACTATCCCTACCTCACCCGCTATGCCGATGACCCCCCCCTCGATTACCACAGTATAATACAAGATGATCTCCGCAACGCTAGGCCGTGGATAATGAGTCAACACCTTCGCGAGAGGCTTGTCAATTGGTTCGAGGTCGTCTACGAGTTATACTTGGCCTGGAACCACCTTGCGTGTTGTATTCATATTGTCCCCTTCAGGCCTTCCTGGTCTTCCCCGTCCCATCAATTTGCGTCCCTTTATCCCTTCTGTCCCCAACAAACAGGCCATAACCCTGATCCTCTCGTTCTTGCAGACTTCTGCCGTGGCGTGTATGAGATGAGAGCCTGGTGCACGTATGCTATGTTCACCATGGTTGACGTAATCCATCAATCCATCCGCCGGCCACTGTTGCATCATCCAGTTGATGAAAACATGATGGGCGCTACTTTCTTCGATGACCTTGATTTGTCCGATAGTAATATATCGACTCTTCATCGTCACGGTGTCCCTATTTTTCAGGTACGGGTATGGGACGGTCCACGAACAACAGAAAGACCTCAGATAACCGCACACGTCGCGACAAGCCGCCCAGTCAGGGTGGAGCAACATGTTCGAGTAAATCTCTTCTTTGAGGAAAGCGCGTCGAGCATCCTTTGGGCTTTCCCCTGGATAGTCCATCCACTGACAGAGGCGAATATGAAGCAAAGTCTTGTGTGGATTGTTGCGGACGAGCTGGGCCTGTCTAAACCCCCTCGGCCGATTGCCCTCCCCCAATGTACGTCCACTGTGCTCCAAAAGCACTTTGGCAGAGGTGTTAATATCGAGGCTGTTGCCAAGTCGGAGGCGGTCCACCAACCAAGAGGTTTCCACGCTCAGCCTGATCCTCGTCCCTCTGCTCCTCCGCATTTCCCTCCTCCACCTCTGCCCCCCTTGATCGTAGGCCACACAGCCTCACGACTACAATCCCAGCATCCCCTTGATCGTCGTCACCAGTCCACCCACGTTCTCCCCCCTGTTGCACCCCCCGTTGCAGCGCCTTCCACTTCAAGTGCGCCTCCAATTCCCGACAGCTCAGGCAGCTCGGATAGTGGATGTGAATTGGATATAAGCACAACCATGGTGATGCAGCGGAAGTATCCCCAACAGCAGGGTGAAAGCAGGCGGGCCTATTCGAGGCGAATTTATAAGGAACTTCAGCGGGTGAAGGAAACACTCGATCATCCAGAGGGGCGATTATTGATAGCTGGCGCATACCTTGGGAGCGAGATCTGTTTGAAGCGGATATCGGAGGAACAAGCCAAGCCAGCACTGGGTAACAAGGCTGGCAGAGGGGTGCGGACATCCACTCTACGTCTGTATCTTGACAAGTTGTGGCCCAATTCACAGCGACGAGCGATGATGTCCGAAACCGAGCTCCAACAGCGTCGGAAGGATAGTTTAACTATTCTTCGAGACTCAGGAACATCCTTTGAGGATCTGCCCCCAGGCGTTCTGTCTGAGCTTGCTGTCTCACGACCGGCTGTGATGGACGTTGATCCACCTAGTACGATGAGGCCTGTGGGACCACTAGCGTCAACGTCTGTGGGCCTTGTTGAGCCTCAGTTGTCAAGCGAGGTCCAGGCAAGCGGTACTGTTGAGAGGCCTCGGACGCCACCATCTCACCTCATGAAGCGCTCTTGGTCTACAGTTCAATCGCCTACATCGCCCCCTCCACGGAGGCCTGCCCCGTGTCGCTCGGTGTCACCTGCTCGTGGATCTTCATCTCATCCCGTGCATCAGGTGTCTCGACAACACCATTCCCATTCGCGTTTGCATTCCCGTTCTTGTTCCCTCTCCCCCCTTCGCATCCCCTCTTCCCGTCATCGTTCCCGTTCCCGTTCCCGTTCATGTTCCCGTCGTAGTTCTCGTTCCCATTCCTGTTCCCATTCCCGTTCCCGTCACCGTTCTCATTCTCGTTCCCGTCGTCGTTCTCATTCTCGTTCCCGTCGTCGTCGTTCCTGTCGTCGTTCTCGTTCCCGTTCCCGTTCCCGTTCCCATTCTCGCCCCGCCCCCGCTCTCGTTCCCATTCCCGCCCCCAGCTTTCCGATGGCTCTCAGTCTCGTGCCCACCCACTTTCTAGCCCCCGACTCCACAGCACTCCAGTGCAGCATCTACAAGAACAGCAAGTCGTTGGTGGCTCGCTTACTTCGACCCCGTTTGTGCGGATTCCCGCACACAAGTGGTTCAAGGTTGAAGTATCCACTCAATGTTGGGATGCAACACTGCCGCATCACCTCGTGCCAGCAAACCTCGCTGCCCAGTATCGGTCACGTGGTGTTTGGGGTGTTAAAGCGAACATGCTCAGATCTTCCTTGAGGAAGGATCTCAAGGGCAATAATGTCGCTCATGCATGGAGACATACGTTCTTGCTGAAGGAATTGAATTTCGTGGATTCCTTCAAGCAGTTTATTTTCACCATGGGCCATTTTTTCGATGATCACACCACCAGCATGCTTCTCTCGAATTTGAAGGGGATTGCGGCTTTCGCCTCCGCTGACGACCTAGTGTACATCTCATGTGTCTATGAGCATGCTATCAACGAATACGAGCAAGCTCTACTTCGTCAATTGGCCCCTCCTCCTCTTCATCATGACATCATCCCTGACGTTGTCCTGGACTATTGGAGCTACCCACCAATCCCTGCGAGTCCTCACCAGGTCCTCCAGAAGCGAACGCTTCAATGTTACACATTCTCAACGTCATGGCTTTCAGAGCGCATTGCCTCGTTGCCAAGTGAACAGCGGACGATTCAGCTCAGGCGTTTCGAGATGATCTGTTGCGCTATCTTGCTGTACTACAGCGCTGGCATTGATCGCAATGCATATGGTGGTATCAACTTCGTGGCGGAAATTTGGCCGGTTCAAGGTGGTGAAATGAATGTTTTCATTCGCCGAATTGCTGCATGGGCAAGGGAGAAACATGCAGAAGTTACTATCAGCAGTCGTGGATCAGAGAAAGAGGAGCTTCAATTCAAAAAGGGAATGTGGACTTTGCAGATAGACGCTGATCGCTCTGTTGGCGAGTTCCTGAGGCCTCTGAGCAAGTAATCTCATTTCTCCCTGAATTTACATGCATTATACTTTGTGTAAACATGTTTCCTTCCATTCTTTATACCACATGCTGCTTCATATTCTCGCTATGCGGGAATTCGAGAATGAGGCTGACTCATTCTTGAACGAGGGGTGTCTGTCGCTCAAGAATTTGATGGGCACAGGTAGTGCAATGGAAACATATCCGCCAGGTCTTTCCTTAGTTCAGTTGCGATGCTCCTCTTGACCAAGAGTTTAGGATGCATGTTGGCCACCAAGTAAACGTGTTTGTGTATGTGTATTTGGTCCGGTGCCGAGAACGTCACATTATCGCCGCCGTAGTTCAAGTACTTGTTCTACCGCTTCATCACACAGAGTTACAGGGATCCTCACCCACGTCTTTGGCGCATCGTCACGGAGTGGTCGGGCTTTCTTGTTCAACCCCCTCCCCTGTTTTCGCTTGCACACCTTTATTGACATTTGGTGCATGCTTACGACGCGCCAACATCGTAAAATTGTTTCATTTGTCCCTTGCATCGTTGGCTTGAAGAGTTTGACAATAACCTTTCGCTGAAAATAACAAGCCTGTCATCTCATTTCGTTTCCAGACGGTGAGTGTTTTACTTTTGACATTCAAATTTCGCATAGCATAACTGATATGCAGCCAGTCATCCGCTCACTGCCCATGTCGTCAGATTCTAATACCCAGCGCTGTCTCCGCCCCAGACCCAATCCAAAGTTAACAACCTCAACTGCACCTGACAGTACGGATGATTTTTTCCTCATACGGCGAAATGCTGCCTTGCCGCCACCCACCTCCAGTGCGGAGCCATCTGCTGTGCCTGTGGCCCCCCTGAGACCTAAACGTGCTGCTGCACACAACTTGAAGAAGAAGGTTTCGCCCCGACGATCCAACATCCCTTCCCCTTCCACTCCCTCTTCTAAAATTGTGCTGAAAATCCCTCGTCGTCCACGCACCCACGCTGAGCTGAACGCGGCACCAGCTTCCCTTTCCTTGACCACTGCTGGTGAATCCAGTTTCTGTGAGCCACCATCGAATCCTGAAGCTGGTGAGCAGGTCAGTGGCAACCATGATGCCGCAGGTGACTCCACTTGCCTTGACCTGCAACCCAAGAGCACCGAGGCCGAGCCGGACGCGGCACCAGCTCCTACTGCCCTTGACGAGCGTAATCTCCATAAATCACAGCCAAACCCTGAATCCAGTGAGCAGGTCAGCAGCGAGCCCGACACTACGGGTGGACCCAGTTGCCGTGGTCCGCTACTCAACAATTTCGAGGCCAGCGATCAGGCGACTCACCCTGTTGTCAGCACTGGCAGCCTCCCTAGCAGCACAATTGCCGATAATACTCCCCTTGTTGGCCAAACTGTTAATGGCGAGGCTGGCGGGTTTGATGATGATTCCAGAGAACTGAATTTGATTGGGGACCCCTCCGGGGTGAACGTGAATTACCCAGAGCTTGAGGATGTTGCGGCAGCCAAGATGGATCTGATCAATTCCTTTGATGATCCTGAGGCAGATGTGTCTCCCCTAGTGGCTGGACGTTACTCAAAGGTGGAAATTAAGGAGCTAGACGCTATTTATCAATCCTTCCTGATTTCCGTCAATGACTGGGCTGAGAGTCGACATCGCACCATCACCTCCGCACTCAATCATATCAGCCTTGCTTTTGCTACCCGTGAACGCCGTGCTTCGGGGAACCCATGGAACGCATACCTCGAACTCAACCCCAATCCGGATTCCAGCATGCGTTATGACCAGTACATTCAGAACATTGCTCGGCCCAACTATAACAAGCTTACTCAGGATCATGGTGGAAAGGGCAGCCAGGGCTGGCAGGCTAAGGCGCAAGAATTGATCCAACTTCAGGACGCAAAGAAGCGGGATAGCATTTCAATGATCCGAGATGATGCCAAGGACCAGGGGGGGATGATAAAGCGGATTGTCAAGAGCTGGAAGCAGGATTCTGTTGCAGCACGTTTCGCTGGCATTCACATGGCCATGATGATTCTTCCATCCCATAAGGCTGCTTCCGACATGGGCACCTTCGAGTCCAATTCACCACATCTGCACCAATTTATCACTAGTAAGCTCGGCAAGGAGACTACATTTATCCCCGAGCTACACAGTATAATTTCGGGTGTTGATGCACCGGCTACAGAAGCCGTGGGACGGGACAAATTAAGGTCCAAATGTCGGGAATATTTGTGCCAGATCGCGGAGCAAGCCAGCATGCCCTTCAAAAAGAACTTCCAGTGGAACCAGTTCATTGCTCGTTTGATCCGGCAGGGGAAACAGCTTGTGAATTGGCGTGACAACCTCCCACTAGCACATGTTTTTTCGGGGGAATACTTGCAGAAAAAGACGGACACCTGGGAGATGCTGTGGACTTCCTGCACTGGAGCCGATAATCAACCTAAGCTTTTCATACAGTCAAGGCCTTCTGGAAGCGATGTTATTGTTGTTGCTGTTAATGAGGAGGCCATATTGTCATCCGGTGATGCGGGTGTGTTTTTGCAAAAGCCGAAGCGCACTCGAAAAGCCGCAACTCTTGTAGAGGATTGTGAGGATGGAAAGAAGGTGGCCAAGCGTCGTAGGGTGGGGTCTGAATGTGACCGCTTTGCTGGGTCTGCAAACGGTGAATCTTTTGCTCCCCAGGAAGATCGCCGAGTCTCTTCTACTAGTGTCTCGACTCTAGTGGCAGAAGAACCATTGCCTAGCAATGCTGGACTTGTGGGGTTCCCTCCCATCTCCATCCACAATCCCGATATCTTTGCATCTCTCCCTGGCCCCTCGAACAGCCAGCCTGCCGGTACTTTTCATGGCATGCCATATGGACTGGTTTCAACCCCAGCAATTCCGCCTTTCAGCTACCCATTCATCCCTCACCAACACCATTTCCCACCTATGATGGGTATGGAGGTGCCAGGTATGTCTCCCAGTGTCCCGACAGCTGATCCACGACAATCGCAGACTTTCTTCAACTTTAATCATACGAACACATAAGCTTCTTATAATCATTCCATTTGTACAATATTTTTGCAAGCTTTCCCCTCGTGCTAACGTTTATCTCATTATCTTAATGTCATCGCTTCATTTGTATATACGATTGCACTCATACTCCATATCATGCTAATGGTTGTCTTGATACCATTTGTACATACTCTCACAAGTCTTCATCGCAATGCTACTCTGTTTGCGCAATCTCATTTCCGTTCAATATCGCAGTACCACTCCGCACGGACTGTAAGTAGGGGCAGCGGCCGCTGAAGTTAATTCGCACGCTTGTATATACAAGTGGATATACAACAGTATATACAGGCCGGGTTTGGCCTATTAGGGGCCAATGAAAGTTATACAAATAATCCACCTAACGAGGCTTCGCCCACTGGGTGTCCAAGGTGTTATGTACATATGTTTCTCTTCTCGGTTGTGGCCCAAGCGGGCGTTTTGACCATCTTCGGCTGGCCGACAGATACCCTAGACACTGCTTCGCGATCGGAGCGCGACCGTAGGGTATTATTTGGGATGTTCGCGGCTGGCAATGAGCGACTTGATGGCTGGTTGATGTGATTTTCGACCGATCTCGCCTAAGCCGCAGGGTCATCCTTGCCAGAAGTCCAGTTGCCGATATTCCGCCGCCGTAGGCCTAGACCAACTGTCGGAGGGAGCATCACACTCGTAGATATCCGCCTGGTGGCCCTTGTTACCCATGCATGGTTGAAAATAGGAGAAGAGCCTGTGAGCACAGCGCACAACCTAGCTGAGTGTGATTCATTTCTGCTGGCCAAAGCCATGATGTTTCGACAATCACCCGGTATTCACGATTGGTCATATATACAACATGAAATTACAGGCCTTACTGCGGCGGAAAGAGATGAAATCTTGCAGCGTGTGCAAGCCGGGAAATGTTTACTAACAGCCATCAAAATTTGCGCACAAACCGACAAGGAGGGCTTCTACCGTCTTCTTTCTCTTCCGGCTACTGGCATCATCACCCAATCCGGCTTACTGATATACACCCGAGCTTCCACCCACCCGAAATAATAACCCAACTTCTTGCAACACTTTGGCCACGGGTTTCAAAGCTCCTCCAGATGAATCGAACATATGGGGTGTGGGCTGTGTCAACGGTTTTACTTCCCTCCTCTTCGATGGCGGTAAGGAAAGGTCCTTCTCATGGATCGAGGGACGGCGGGGGCCAGGAAAGAGAACTTTTGGATCGGGAGGGGTATCGAAAGCTCGACGGGTGGTACGAAAGCGCGTTAGGACCTTGAATGATTGCAAAGAACCGTCATAGGACGTTTGATTTAGCGCAGCAGGAGGGCAACAGACCTGTTCCATAAATTCAATCTCTCCATCCAAGTAGTCCTTTGATAGCTGTCTAAAATCTTCGTTCTTATGCTGATGGTATGTCTCGAGCTCAGCCATAGTGGCGTTGAGGACAGCCTCGCAACGTGAAGCTACAACAGGGTCTGTATTATGAATAATAGGTTTGCTGTGTTGCTCCTGTGTAATTCCGATTATTAGGATCCACTTGAGAAGGAACGTGAAGGGCTGAATGTACATCGGAGACCTCAAGGTATTTAGCAAGAGCTGATCGATGGATATCCACGGTTGGCTGAGTTACTGTCTTATTAGAGGGGGAAGAAATGTCAACAACATCACATACAGCGTACAACTCAACCGGATGAGCCATTGTTTTCAATAGTTCAAGTGTCGCCAGCTGCGTCCGTCTCGCCTGCAGTAGGACCGAATTAGCGAGGCCCAAGCGCGAAAACGATTCGTACATGATCTTCGTGCAGATCGGCGACAATTTGTAGTGTATCCACGAGTTTTTGCAAACCTTTAGTAGTGTCGAGACATTCTGACGTAAGATAGGTTTAGATGCATGTATAGTCCTGCATACCATTACAACCTACCATCACAATCGTCCTTCCAACACCATGCGCCGTCGGCTGTCATCAGACCCTCCTGAGGGGAAGGGGGATGTTGTTCT